ATCTTTTCGCTCCATCATTTGACCAGGAGACGGTTGCTACCCGAACTTGCTACTTCATTAACCCCACTGTCGAAGCTCTCGGTTGTGTGAATCTGCTGCATTACTCGTTGTTTGTTAAAACTCGCTGGTGTGAAGGTTCGCTGAAGTTGATTAAGAAAGCTACTGGAGTGTGAACTTTGCGATTTACCGGTTGGCGATTTGTACTTAAAGTTGTGCGGACTTGCAGAATCACGAAGAGAAAGAAAAAGAAAAGCAAGGCGCGCGGCGCCTCAATCCAACCCTCACACCCTGCTGGTCGCTGAGGACCTCTGAGGAGGGTGCAGCGAGTGACAGGCGCTGCTGCCCCTGGCTTCAACACAAGCAGGCGACCCCCTCCCCGGGTTTCCTTACAACTTCGGCGCCGTTGCCGGGGAGGGGACTGCACTCCCAAGGCCGCGGCCTTCCCCAATCAATGGGGGTGCGAGGGCTGATTAGTCTAAATACTAATTAGTTCGTTTTCTTGATTAGTTCTGTTTTTTATATTTTTTTGAATTATTTTTTTTAAATATCTCGCAATTCGCGCATTTTCTCGCAAAGAATGCAGGGGACAAAGTTTGACGTCTCGACAAGGGGAATGTTATGAGACGTTTCTTGCAGAAATTTGACGGTCAGATTTTGAGATAACGAATTTTCTTCGATAATCAAATCATCAATTCGAAATTTCCAGTTTTCGTTTTTAATTTTTGAGGGAAATTGGTACATTTTCTTGAGATAACTCCTTGTACCAAACCTGCTCAGTTTATTTTTCCCGTCGTTTTGATACCTTGGTCGGGGCAAATGGGGGTGGTTAGAGGCAAGAACGGTAAGTAACAACAAAGGAAAAAAAAAAGAAGTAAAACAAGAAATAAATATTTAATTTCTTTAAACATTTCGTGTAAAATACCATAAAGGGGATTAAGAAAAAACGTGTTCCATCAAAGTTTTTGCAAATTTTGAGTAAAGTTGACGGGAAAATTTTGGTACTGAACGAGTTTTGGAAGAGAGCGTGCGGTTGCGAACGAAGCCCTCAAAACCCTAGTAGATAAACCCTAATTAGGGGAAACCCTAATTAGGGGAAGTCTTATTCAGGGTTTTGGGGCGGATAACAACCTCGAAGAGGAAGGATAGTATACAGAAAATATTTTGCCTTTTAAATTCTTCGGCTTTTTCCTTTTTGAAAAAAAAAAAATTAAAGAAAATATTAAAAATAACGAAAAAGGGTTAATTAAATTTTGTTTTATTTTATTTTTAAATTCTGACATCTTTCCTTTCGGGTTGTTGAGCCAGGGGCGGAAGCCCCGAACCCCATCCCCACGGGGGGAGGGGAAATACTGCCCAATTTTTTAGAAAATTTGCGAAATATTTCAAATTAATTAGGAAATAATTAGAGAAAATACTCAAAAATTGGTTAAAAATTAATATTTTCGTTTGATATTTTTTCCCTTTTGCTATACTCCTTCGGCGGTTATTTCGAGGCCTTCGGCCACACCCCATCCCACTGGGGGAGGCGAAGTGCTGCCAAATTTTTCGAGGACCCTATTGGTCAAGCAGTTTTACCTAAAGACATATACAAGGGACATGAGTGTATGGGCCTCGTTAGACACTCCTTACGGTTTCCTTGAGCCACAAGGAAACGTCCTTGTGGATTTTTAGGGGAATTTGCGGCGTCGTTTCACTCATCCTTGGGGACGTTCCCCGAGGATGTTTCCTTGTGGCTTTCCCGCGGCCAGTTTCATATGTAAATTAGCGGTCGCGGGGTCGGACGTCCTTGGTCCAGCTTCTTTTGTCCGTGTGGAGGCGGCGTGGTCCTGCGACGCAAGGCGGGAAACGGTGGACGTCGGCCGACGCGAAAAGAAATTAAACCCCAAGGGCGTGGACATTTCAAATTCAAAATTCGAACTAGCGCTGCGACGACGACGACGACGTGTGCCTGGCGGCGCGAGGGTGACGTGCTGCGGGAACTGGCTGAGCGGCGGCGGAGGCTCCGTCCCCAGGCCGTTGCGACTGCGCAGGCAGTGTTCGGCGCTTCCATCGCCATGGACCTTTGCACACGTCGACTGCGCGTTGCTCCTCTTCGCCGTTCGCGGGACTGTCGACACAGAAAAGGGGCCGCCTTTCGTCGGACGTCTTCGACATCTTCGACGCGTGCGGAAGTATGACACAGCCGACAGCGGAACGACGGGACCGTTTCGACGTCGCGGCTATGGAGGGCGGAGCAGAGGGTAGACGTGATCCGTTGAGTCGTCGTGAGCTGCAGGCAGTGGAGGCGGCTGTGTCCACGATGGTTCTTCGATGTCAGCAGGAGAGGGCGCTGGGGCGACTGAAGGACCAGTTGCGTGTGCGTAGACGGAGGAAATTGACGCAAGATCCGTTCGATGGGGCCGATTACGTGGCGATGTCGGAGGCTGTTGTTCAGCTGTGCTACGCGTTCGGTTGCGGAGTGATACCACGTGCGACGCCGCGGTGGTGGGTGAAGCGCAAGATAGGAGGCACGTGGGAAGATTTGAGGCAATGTGACGATGCGACAGACGACTACTTTCGGGATAAGCTTTGAATGTCGCCGCGAGTGTTCAGGAAAATCGTGGAGGCGTGTGCGCCTTATCTTCAGCGGTGGGTCACGTTCTACAGGGAGCCTTTGCAGCCGGACCACATTTTGGCGTACTCGCTGTATAGGTGGGCTTCAGGAGAGACGTACGAGAGCAGCACGTGCAACTTCGGGATTGGCCGAGCTTTTGGGTTGATTGCCGGTCGCGATGTTACTGCCGCGCTGCTAAGAGTCTTCGGAGAGAAGATCGCGTGGCCGACGGGACTTCGTAAACTTGTTGTTCTGCGGGCGTTTGCAGATAAAGGGTTCCCCAACTGTCACGGTTGCATTGATTGCACTCACGTCTACGTCGACAAGCCGGCGAACGCTCCTAGCGAGAACTACTACGACAGGAAGCGTCGTTTCTCCATCGTCGCACAGGTTGTCGTCGACCTGGACTTGCGTGTGCTCGACGTGCACATGGGATACCCAAGAAGCTGCCACGACATCAGAGTGCTGCAGTTGTCCAGCCTGTCACAACGCGCAGAGGAGGGGTCGTTGTTCCGTGGTCCCCCCGTCACACTGCAGTTCGGTGTGAAGACGAACGGGTACGTTCTAGCGAACAATGGATACCCCCCTTCCGAATGGATGGTCGTCCCGTATAGAGGCATCAATCAACACGTCGACGAGGAGCGGTTCGACAACAAACAGAAGGTGGCGAGGGGAGCGGTGGAGAGGGCGTTCGGCAGGCTAAAATACCATAAAGGGGATTAAGAAAAAAAGTGTTCCGTCAAAGTTTTTGCAAATTTTGAGCAAAGTTGACGGGAAAATTTTGGGACTGAACGAGTTTTGGAAAAGAGCGTGCGGTTGCGCGCAGAGCCCCCAAAACCCTAGTAGATAAACCCTAATTAGGGGAAGTTTTATTGAGGGTTTTGGGGCGGATAACAACGTCGAAGAGGAAGGATAGTATACATAGAATATTTTGCCTTTTAAATTCTTCCGCTTTTTCCTTTTTGAAAAAAAAAAAATTAAAAAAAAATATTAAAAATAACGAAAAAGGATTAATTAAATTTTGTTTTATTTTATTTTTAAATTCTGACGTCTTTCCTTTCGGGTTGTTGAGCTAGGGGCGGAAGCCCCGAACCCCATCCCCACGGGGGGAGGGGAAATACTGCCCAATTTTCTAGAAAATTTGCGAAATATTTTGAATTAATTAGGAAATAATTAGAGAAAATACTCAAAAATTGGTTAAAAATTAATATTTTCCTTTGATATTTTTTCCCTTTTGCTATACTCCTTCGGCGGCTATTTTGAGGCCTTCGGCCATACCCCATCCCCACGGGGGGAGTCGAAGTGCTGCCAAAATTTTCGGGGACCCTTCTGGTCAAGCAGTTTTGCCTAAAGACATATACAAGGGACATGAGTGTATGTAAAATAAGAAAGGGGGGAGTATCTTATGTAAATGTAATTATTGTAAATTAGATACAGTTAAATACAGAAAAATATTGGCGGAAAGAGAAACGCTTTAGCCGCGCTACTCTCTAGGGGAAGCTTTGCATGCCTCTAGGCAGTGGTTGAGGGCCAGTGGGTTTCTAGAAGATAAAAGTAATTTTTATTTATTTAAATTCATTAAAATTTCCTAAAAATATTAACATGGCTTAGAAAAATAGAGCGAAGAATGACCTTCTAATTTTGGTAATTAGATAGAGGGTAACATTTGTACTCCTGAGGGGTGACCGGAGCAGTCGGAGGCAGCGTTCCCTCGAACAGAGCACACACCTTCTATTCGAGGGAACTCGATTATAGGGCTTGTTGCCTTGTTTAGAGCCGGGACTCCGCCCTGTAGCAACATAGGGGACCTTTGGATAGCTAGGAGATAGATCGACAGAGTGATATCGGGGATCCCAACGAAGGGAGGCGAAGCGCTGCCGAAATTTCCTTAGAATCAACGAGCCTTCTTCTACTATCTTTTACTTTCTCTACCCATCCCTCTTGCTGCGTTCTCTCTAGTCGCCAGTTGGATGTGGCCGTGAGCGCAAGTAGAGGTCTATGAGGCCACCATCGATTGGGACTTGGAGCCCCCTGAACTCATAGAAGGGGATCTGGTGGAGCTCACGATCCCCTGGCGCAGCGTTCGATACGTTGACGACCAGTTTGCGTGGAGGTCCGTAATCTTGTCCGAGGACGTGTGGCTTTGGACGCACAGAGAGCACCGGCCTGGGCAAGGAGTGGGCGTAGTGAGAGCCTACTTGTACTTAGGACCGGGCGCGGTCAGGGAGGCCGTGGTGGGCCTCGCGACGACAGGGACTAGTGGCGCGGTTAGCAGGGCGTTACGCTACCTGAGGGACGAGGTAGCTGCCTTCCGAGCGGAGGACTCGAGCGACCCGTTGACCCTATTTCACGGACGCCCTCCTCTTGATATCACGGGCGAGCTGGTGGTAGCATGGGACGGGTTTTTTCCGTATAGCGTTAGGAGTCTGCGGGCGATAGTTCCGACATTCGTAGTAGAGAGCGTCTTTGGAGGTATTGATGGAGTGGTCGAGACATACCTAGCCTATCAGGATCTCAAGATCCTGGTGAGAAGGCCTGCCGACCTCGACTACATCTATTATTCGCTCGCGACCGGTGGACCTCGTTGGGGTGACGAGAGGGTTCAACTTATAGAGCTGATCCGTTCGATAGACGACGAGTGGCCCCAGTCTCCGTGCGTTTGGGATTGGCTAGACCGTGAGCTCCGAGCAGGCCCCGAGTACGTGACCTGCATCGGGTGACTTTTCTCTCACGACTGGGGGAGCTGGTGGAGTGAGGACGCTGGGCGACCTCTGATACACGGCCATCAGTTGGCGGAGTACTACCAGGCTATAGGACAAGCACCATACCACATCGAGGACGAGTTTGACGACGAGGTTTGGGAGCGAGAGGACGACGAGGACGTCTGGGAGCCAGATTGGGTCGACCCAGAGGGTGAGGTTGACGAGGAGGAGATCGACGTTACAAACGCCCACTTCCCCAGGATAGGAGTAGTAGTTCGGGCATAGGAGCGGGCTTAGCGTCAGATATCGGCCGATAGAGGAGAGCGGATCGATGGTAGACCAGGCCAGCGGGGTGGAGCTTGAGATCGACGACGCCAGATGGCCTAGACCCCCAGAGACGGTAGCGCCAGGCAGGGTGGCGGTAGATCTGCCGGCCAGAGGGGTTTCTGCCGATGCGATAGAGAGTCGATGGTCATCGATGGTGCTGGCCTCAGACATACACTTGTGGTCGTACGTCATCGAGACATTCGAGCCGGACAGTCAGGGGTGGCGACGACCTGGCACGACTGGTATAGAGGTAGAGGGGCACATTTACTACTCGCCGAAGGTGTTAGCTACGGTCTATTATCACGGCCTCGTACACGATCATTGGCGAGAGGAGCAGACCGCAAGGGCGATCTTACTGGCTAGAGCGGACTCCGCACGCGGCGAGGTAGAGCGGCTGCACGGGGGTGTTCAGAGAGTGACGACGACCTTCAGGATTGGAGGACATTTCCCATATCCTAGCAGTCGACTGCGTGTGACACTTCCGTGCTTCGTGGCAGAGGAGCTTTGGGGACTTAGGTGTCTGGGTGAGATCTACTTTGCGGCTCTTGACTTGGACGGCCTCTGCCGAGGGTACACGGACAGGGATTGGGTGTTGTATGCGCAGTTTGTAGCAGGGCCGCATGTAGGCAAGCGAGGACTCCAGCTGATTGAGTTCCTGCGGGCCATTGTACCTACCGGGAGCCCGGACCTATACTCTCTGTACCAGCCCCTAGCCTTCAAGACGACACTAGAGAGAGAGGCTCGGAGGCCTACAAATCATTTAGCTGGAGTAGGACAACTGTTAGCCGGGACTCGTGAGGAGAGGCCGGGCCATCTCATCTTGACCGGGGAGGTTGAGGAGTATTACCGGCAGGTATATCCAGAGACAGACGATCTTGCGTGGTACGCTGAGGATCGGGATTGGGAGGAGTTCGATGACATAGACCCTTGGGGTGACCAGGACGAGGGCTGGGGAGATCTGGCGCGGGCCGAAGGACAAGAGGAGGTAGGTGGAGAGGCGCCGCAGGAGGACGACTGGGAACATCTCCTTCAGACTGAGGGACAGGAGGAAATCCCATGGGGGCAGAGGGTAGATGAGGACACAGATGAGGATATGCCAGATGCATGAGAGGACTAGAGGCAGGGCATATCCGAGTGAAGTTTAGATAAAAGAGTAGTGGAGAGACGGTAAGCAGATATCGTTAGGCGAGGCGAGGCTAGCAGCAAGAGCAGGAAAGGATGGCAGACAGGGATATACTGAGAGTGACGCTTTCCCTACGACGGGATAGGATAGGAGGCTGGGAAGATGAAGTGTTGGGCAATGTTGAGCGACAGATCAGACTCATGACGGAGTATGCCCTGGAGATACGGAGAGGCCAGAGGTACGTCGAGTTCACTATCTACTTCCATGGAGCAGACGGGAGAGTGCACAGCACCTACTCGGCCATGATGGATCTGAGTGGGAGAGTTGTCTGAGGGGTTAGCGACATCATGAGATAGGGAACGTCGAAGGGAGTAGAGTAATACAGATCGAGAACCGAAGGGGAGATGAGGAGTGACTCAGTAGTCTGGTTAGCTTATGTTCTCTCACGAGAATCCGAATCCTATAGCGTAAGGAAGCTAGTGAGACCCAGAGAGACGGCGGTTGGATACGGCATTCCTCTTCCTGTGGCGTTAGAGGGGACAGGGCGTGTTCCGTTATGATACCTGGGAACGTGGCTCGCAGAGGGACTCTTCCTTTAGACAGTGATACTGAGAGATGGATGACCCGAGAGGACTCATGACCTAGAAGGGGTTGGACATCTGATAGCGGATAGAGCACACGATTTAGAGGTAGGACTGACGCTTGCAGGGGCCAGCAGGGCTTGGTGGAGAAGTGAGTTGTTGGCCAGAGTGATCGTAAATCAGCAACTGGCGAGGCTCTCTGGAGGGAGGACGTATTGGAGCCGCTTGGTATACGGTCCTCCGCACCCGACCCTCTATCCGAGAGAGGATTGGCGATTCGGACTTCCTGCCTTCGTGATAGGGCAGACCTATGGGAACGTAGATCGTTTGAGTAGAGCAGTGGACCACACACTTTACGCGCTATGGGAGGGATTAGCGCCCCATTTAAGGGAAGTATACTACGCCATTTGTGTGAGGTGGGGACCGCCCAGCAGAGAGACGCTTGACGACATCATAGACGTTACTTGCTGGGTGGACTGTCTGAGGCCAGTCGATCTGATTAGGTACTGCAGGAGACGGGCGGAGGTTGATTACGTGGGGCTAGAGGATGTGAGGTTTCTCTTCGAGGCTGCAGCTTAGGGAATGTCGGGAAGGACGGCCACAGTGATGCGTGTAGGAGAGCAACTGGTAAGCACAGGGTACACTGTGACAGTACTTCTCCGAGCGTACGTAGATGAGGACTTGACGGAGAGGGAGTGCCGGCAACGCGCCAAGGATTTGATCCACGAACATAGAGCCGATGTATTGTCGCGGGTGACCTTCCAGACCTCGATTTCCTATGAGGTGATGATATGGTCACATGGTTATATGCGTGCGGAGCACTTCCACGACGAGACGGTAGCGGAGGCTAGAGCGAGGGTGAGAGGATGAGCTGGAAAGAGATGAGGACTGAGTATGGAAGAGGAGAGTGAGGCAGTCGAAAGAGTGAGAGAGCGCATTAAAGAGCCACTCTTGAACCAGGTAAAGGAGTTGGGGAACAAGTTAAGGGAGATCTGGTCGTGCCAGGATGACGGCAAGTTGCGTAGGGCTGGGCTCATGATGAGAGAGTTAGAGAGTTTGTTTAGGGAGGAAAGAGAGATTATCCAAGCGTGGAGATCAGACTTTCTGGAGAGGGTAAAAGCTAGGAGCGTATCACGCGAAGGAACTAGGGAGAGGTCTGCAGAGGGCGAGACAACGGAGGACAAGGTAACGCAGGGAGGTAGCGACAGGACATGAGCGAAACTGCGCTACACACGACGGATCGGTACTCATTGCATGTGGTAGGGAGACTGGACGGACCGTTGGTGTTAGTGATCGTAGAGCTCCAGCTCCATACCAGACTGTGCATAGTTGAGGAGGCAGAGTGTGTCCGCCGTGCGCTGCGTGAGGCTAGGGGGACAAGACTTTGGATTGGCGTGGAAGGAGGACGAAGGATTAAATACGTACTTCGAGTAACACCATTCGAAGGGCAGTCTCGGATAAGGGCATGGTACGAGACGACCAGAGAGGCTGAGAGGGTGCCAGGAAGGCTGGAGAGCTAGGGAGAGTTGTGGCAGACGGTGCAATACTTAGGGTGCTAGCCACTCACGATCGGTACTGGAGGGAATCGATAAAGACTTTAGAGGCCATAAAGGATAGTGGAGATGAAGAGGATTTTGAGACGTTCTATGATATATTGGAGCTGTCGGCAGTAAAACTACGAGTGGCTGTAGCACTGGCTACCCTCAGATGTTAAACAGGTGACCTCATAGCAGTCTGGGAGTAAAGGAGGAGAAATAGAGATTGGAAGCTCTAGGAAAGAAAGTGAAGAACAGAAAGGTCGCGGAGCGACATTGGATGGCAATAGGAGGGGAGCTTCCCCCTTTAGCGAGCTACCCGATTCAGGAAGGGCTGGGAGACCTAGCAAGGAGGACAGAGATAGACGCTCGGAGGCTCTTGAGGGGTGCTGATCAGGAGACACTGGTTAGGCTTGGGACCGCGATCTGCCGCAGGAGTAGAGATCCTGTCACGGGTGTACTGCAGATCCGGAGAGGCGCGGCCTTGTTGACCGATCCCGAAGGAGAGGTTTACCTACACACAGGGATTCTTGGGGTAGAAGGAGAGCACGAGATCCGCGACCGGAGGGCTGCGAGTTCTGTCACAGGTCCGGGCTGCAGCAACTGTCATAGGTCCGGGCTGCAACACCCGGCGAGAGTGCCTAACTGCGTCTTCAGGTGGCCTATGGAACCAGACGCGATGGGGCTACAACCAACCACGGGTGAAATGAGGGAGGAGTACAAGACATCGCCCGACCGAGCTCTGAGGGATCTGAAGGAACGAATTAGGCGGGAAGCACCGCTGAGATGGGATGACCAAACCAATGACGGAGAGCCCGACGTAATGGGCGAGCCGGTCGTGACAGAGCCGCAGGAGGCTCTGAAGACAGGAACCTCGAGCGGCCGACGAGAAGCGACAAGACGACGCTCCCCCGAGTATGAGCGGAGGGAAACCATGGCGGATAGGCACAGGGACGACTGGCGAGAGAGTTCGAGGGACTCCTATTGGAGGGACAGAGATAGAGATAGAGCACCGCCGCGTCGTGTCTTCGACCCCCAAACGGGGGAATCACACCCGCTCCCTTACGAGAGCAAGGATCGCTATATTATTACGCACAATGCCTCAGAGCCTCCTACTTTCAGGGGTTACGACATCACAGAATATCTGGAGAAGTGGGAGCTTCACGCGAGCCGGAGTAAGTGGTCGGAGGAAGAGATTATAGAGAACTTCCTATTTAATGTGGACCCAAATCTCGGCAAGGAAGTCAAGAAAGTCAAGGAAGCCCGACCGAAGGATGGGAAATAGACTACGTACAAAAAGAATCTCGTTGAGCTTTACAAATTGGAGGATAACAAGTACTCCATCAAGGACGTTGAGACAATAACTCAAGATGAAGATGAGAGCGTACAGGCATTTGGGATGCGTTTCTAGAAGATCTCTGGCATGCTGATGAAGAAGGGGAAGATCTCAGAAGTCGAGTGTTGTACTATCTTCATCGGACACCTGTCCAAAGGTAGACAAAAGAGTATACTTAGAGATCTTCCGCGCGACAAGCTTGACTTCCCAGAAGTCCTAAAGCTTGCAATAAAGGCAGAGGCAGACGACTACAAGGACTTGGTGTGGAGAGGGATAAGGAGATGCGACTTCTCTCTCTACAAGGAGTATGCCACTGATAGATGTCCTGATTTCAAGGACTATCCCTGGTCGGAGAAAAATGAAGCCGTCGCCGAGGAAGTGAAGGAGATAAGGGACATGGTAAAGGGATTGACAAGACAGGTTACAGAGACAAGACAGGTTACAGAGATTGTGACCACCACAAGAGCCACGACATACCGGGACAATCCCGGAGGACCCTATTCACTTCGCTGGGACCGGAGGAACACTGATTCCTGGAGGAGTGTCGAGGATAGAAATCCTCGAACGCTGACTGATTATCGTGCGAGGGAAAGGGAGAGAGACGATGAGCCACGGCGACATAGGGATGATGAGATAGACCGGGACCGCAGGACTCGCAAGACGTATGGGCGTGCTAGGAGACTGGATGACTACTCGCGTAGCCCTCGCTATGAGCCTGACGGGGGTAGAGGCGACTCTCGAGGCCGGTAGGAGTCGGATCAGGATCGGCGAGACGCATACAGGGATGGTAGATATGCGATATCGGACCGAGATGGACATAGGGACGACATATATGAGAGATTGGACCGAGATGGACATAGAGACGACATATATGAGAGGTCGCATCGAGACGGATACAGGGGCGGCAGATATGAGAGAGGAGATCGACCCGATGATTCACGCGGGCGATACGATCAAGAAGACCGACGTGATGATTCACCCGGGCGGTACGACCGAGGAGACCAACGTGATGATTCACGCGGGCGATATGACCGAGGAGACCGACGTGATGATTCACACGGACGATACGAACACGGAGACCGCCGCAATGATTCGCGAGGCAGGAATGAGAGAGGGGGATATGACGCTTCTGCAGAACTGTATCCGAAGTCCCCTGACCCCAGAGCAGCGAGAGGTTCGACCTCCAGAGGCGCAGACAACAGGCCACCCACACCCAGGAACTTTTGCATTTACTGTAGGGGGGATGATCATATCAAGAGAGATTGCCCGGATCTCAAACGGGCAATAGATGAAGGACTTGTCGTGCTTGATGACCGCAAGTACGTCAGATGATCTGGGAGACGTATCGATGTTCCGTTCGATGAAGGAGAATGTCGAAGCAAGGAGAGTAAAGCCGAGTAGAGAAAAGGAGTCGGTTAGGAGCCAGAGCATCAAGATAACTTTCGAAGGAGATATGGCGACCACACCCATAAGGGTGGCAGCTACCAAGTCCGCGAGAGGGTCTACATCGAAGAAGACCGACACGGATTACGTGATGGCGGAGGAGGACGGACAGCAGATCGATGGAGAGGAGGTTATTCTTTCGCCGCGAAAGCGGGGAGTGAAGAAGTTCTTGATGAAGAGTTCGATGGATGAGATTGACACGGTCGAGCCACTGAGACGGGCCCTTCGGCAGCCCATGCAGTGCTCTATTCTAGAGTACCTGGCGGCATCGAAGCCGGCTCGCGATGAGTTACAGATGATCACGCGGAAGACTCATATACCTCTATCAGAGGAGGCTCAGGGGGCCCCTAAGGTGGAAGCTCCTACAGTAGCAGTAACGAGGGTGACTGCCAGAGCAGATCGCATGATGACAGTTCTTCTTGATGTGATGGAAGGTGTGCCTCCAGACAAGTCTTACATACTTGGTAGTGGGGCCGTGGAGGCGATCATAAACGACGGGGCAGTACTAGATGCTGTGATCGATAACGGTAGTGAGGCTGTCATTATAGACGAGGATCTGGCAGTACAGGTTGGACTGAGCCTCGATAGGTCATACCTATTCGAGATAGAGACGGCTGATGGGAGAAAGCAACAGATCACCGGAGTTTATCACAAGGCAGCTATAGAAGTCCAAGGAGTGCGAGTGACCCTGCCTGTCTTTGCAGTCAAGAACTGCAGCTCCGATCTGCTCTTGGGACGAACATGGTTGAGCCACATGCACACGGTGACGATAGAGCGACCGGATGGGAGCCAGACATTGTCCATTAAGAAGCTAGATGGGACGCGGGTTATGATTGAGACAGTGGAGCCTCGGAACCCGAGGAACAGAGCAGCTCTTGCTGTGGGTGCAAGACCCAGTGATCAGATTAAGTCATTGCCTATCTCCGGTCGCGTGGTGCGATTTCGCAGGAAGAAGTATGGACCACTGCTCACAGAGGAAGAAGGTCGGATCGTGGAGGTGGAAGATTTAGGGAGTCGGCTGATAGTGGACGACAACGCGTACCCAAATGAGACAGATGAGGAATTTGGCGGTGTGGTATCTGTGTCTTTTTTAAGGGCACGGCCCCCTATGGGGGGCTACCCAAGCAACACAAGCGATTAGCTCAAAAAGTTAAGCCAGCGGCGGTGGGCTGCGAGCGATTTGCGCTGGAAGGGATATCGGAAAAAGAGATCGCAAAGGAAATCAAAGAAAGAAAGAAAAAGGAGCCGCAACGCCTCACGGAAGAGAGAATAGCAGGGATGGACATCGAAGATGGAAATCTGACCCCACAGGAGCGAGAACGTGTGATAGAGATCCTAAAGACGTGCGATAAGGCTATAGCCTTCATCGACGCGGAGCGCGGTAGGGTTGACCCTCGATACGCAAAGCCGACAATGATTTACACGATTCCACATATTCCTTGGAATGACGCAGGATGAAAATACGCCCAGAAGGAGAAGGAAGAAGTTATCGCTTTCCTGAAAGAAAAGATGGTTTCCCATATTGCGGAGCCGACTAATAGCACTTATGCTAATCGATGGTTCTTCCCACGAAAGCCGAATGGCAAGATCCGATGGATCCAGGACCTTCAGAAGGTCAACGCGGTGACGATACGAGACGTGGGCTCCGTGCCACACGCCGACTTACTGGCCGAAGGCGCCGCAGGCAGGTCGATTTATTCGGTCTGTGATCTCTTCTCAGGCTAAGATGAGGTACCGCTTGATCCTAGGGACAGACACCTTACGACTATGCACACGCCGTTGGGACTGATACAAATGATGGTTGTCCCTATGGGTTGGACTAATGGGGTAGCCGTTTTAATGAGAGTCATGGTAGCCGTCCTCAAGGACCTCATCCCTGATAAGGTTGAAGTTTTTCTGGATGACTTTCCTATAAAAGGGCCAATAAACAAGGATGAGACAGAGGTTGTACCATGAGTTAGAAGATTCGTCGAGCAACACCTAACAGATATTTGCGCGGTACTTGAGCAGTTGGACGATACAAATTTAACGGTCAGCGGAACAAAGAGCCGATGGGCCGTCTCAACTATTAAGATTTTGGACTTTATCTGTGACTCGAGAAGACGTCGAGCAGATCCGGCGAAGCTAGACAAACTCCTGAACTGGCCGTCACCGTTACATAGTCCAACCGAGCTCCGATAGTTTCTGGGAGTGGTCGGTTACTGGTGTATATTCATACGAGGGTATGCGGAGAAGGCTGAGCCATTGAGGTTACTCCTTCGAAAAACTGAGAAATTCTACTTGGATTCCTCGCAGGAACTCGCTATGCAAGAACTTAAAGACGAATTTAAGGAGGGAGGACGCGTATTGGGCGTGTCATTCTTTGATGATGAGGCTGGGAGACCCTTCATTAGTATCCACGGATGCTGAACCTTGTTCAGTAGGTGGATTGTTATCTCAGAAGGACGCTGGAGGTAAGGAAAGACCGTTAAGATTTGAGAGTAGAACACTTAATACGGCTGAGCGTAAGTACAATCAATTCAAGAAGGAAGTGTTAACTGTTCTGCGGTGTCTAGACACGTTCAGACACTATATCTATGGGCGACGGTTCATCTTGAGAGTAGATCCCACCGCGGTTGCCTCTGTCCTCCAGAAGGACTTTAGTCTGACGGACCCGACCATCGCTCGATGGTTAATACGGATTCGGCTATATGATTACACAGTTGAGAGGATATCTGGCACTAAAAATGCCGTGGCAGATGGGCTTTCGCGCATCCCTCTCGAGGCCGAGCGCCCGATAGTAGCTGGAGCCTTGACAATGGCGGAGCCGAGACGCGTCGAGCGAATTCTGGTTAACCTTTATGAGGGCAAATACCGAACGATCGGGCTACATTTGTTAGGGCAGGAGAGTCAAGAATCATATATCCGGAGACAAGCGGCGCAGTACTGCCTTAGAGCCGGCCATCTATTTCGAAGGCCAGTCGGCTCGGAGATGCCCTTACGAGTAGTCTGTGACCCTGAGGAGAGACATACGATAGTTGCGAAGCTTCACGACGGGGTAGTCGGAGGACACAGGGGAGTAAAAGGGACCTACGAAAAGGTACGCAGGTTGTACAGGTGGGAAAGACATTATAAGGACGTCGAGAGGTACTGTATGACCTGCGAGGAATGCCAGAAGAGAGCTCTTGTGAAATACAAAGAGTCTCTCCATCCATCATATCCCCCCAGACCAGGAGAGAAGGTACACATCAATCTGGTGAAGATGCCGAAAGCAGTAGGCAATATGAACTACGTCGTGAACATACGAGACGATTTCACTGGGTTCGTGGACGGTGGACCTATCAGGAGTAAGACGGCAAAGGAAGTGAAGAACTTCGTCTTGGAGTACTTATCTAGGTATGGTTGTGTCAGCAAGATAGTGATGGACAGAGTGGCGGAGTTTCTAGCTGACGAGGTTCAGAGTGTGTTCAAGAGAGTCGGGGCGAGAGTTTCGATAGCCACCGCCTATCACCCACAGTCGAACTCCCCAGTAGAGAGGGGCCACCAGACTCCGATAGCGTCACTGTCCAAGTGGTGCAAGGGTAAGGATAGTGATTGACCACGATAATTTCGATACGCACTATGGGCGGACAACGTCACGGTCCGGGATAGTACCGGATACCCACCGTACACCTTGTGGTTTGGGCGGCATTGTCCGCTCCCTATAGAGTTTCACGTCGACAGCTGGACAACCGTCGACTGGGCGGAGGAGATGTCCAGAGAGGAACTCATAGCTGCCCGAACAAGACAGATAGCCTACGGTTTGGAAGATAACCTTATGATAGCGGCAGATCATCTGGCAGTGGAAATGGACAAAGGTAAAGAGAGATGGGATAAGAACGTGAGAATCAGGAAAGAGAGGGTGAGCGTATGAGATATGGTCCTCCTCTACGACGCAGCACTGGAAAGGACCTGGACCGGAAAACTCGCCAACAAGATGGATGGGACCTTACAGAGTGGTTGAGGCACTCAACTGGGGTGCATATATGATAGCAGAATTGGACGGATCCAAGTGGAAGGACCTAGTGGCGGGTGCTAGGTTAAAGTTGTTTAGACCCTGGCCTACACCCACCTTATCACTAACGAGCCCGAAAGGGAAAGGAAAAGCCAAAATGGAGGATGGAGCCCCCTTGAGACGATTCGAGGCAGGGGAAAGTTCCAAGAAGAGAAAAAGAGTGGAGAAAAGAAATGTCAAAGAGTTGGCATTAAGAAGAGAAAAAAAATGGTTATTCGTGCTCAGGAGGGTCAGGCGGAGAGTCCGCATTAGACAAACTGGAGGGACGACACCCTTCTCCTGCCAACGACAGAAGAAAAAGAGGGATGTGCCAAGGCCAAAAACCCGAAGAAAAAGGAAAGTCAAGAAGCATCTTCTTAGCCCCAGGACTCATAACAAATTGAAACATAAGACAATTGAACGCCGACGTGGGCGTTCTTTACGGGCAATCACCCTGAAGCTCGTCCGCTTCGTTTGACGTAAGTGGATAGGGCTCGACGGGGGCGTCGAGAAGTGGTCCGGGCTAACTGTCAGGCGGCCACAAGCAGTGCGCCGCCTGAAATCCGCAACTTTGAGGCTTTGGCTCAGGGGCAAGTCCGTGTTTTGATCATACTCTGATTCGGCGGGACAACAAAAATTAGGAGAACTTTTGCCCCCCCTGACTTTGGGCACACTGAACCTTATGAGTAGCCCTCAGAGATAGCGAGATGGGTGGCCGCACTCGGCACGTCTAGGGACCGTCATTTCCAACCGTTCAGAGGGTTAGATCTGGATTGGCCTGCCGCGGAGAGGCATCGTGGAAACAGATCTCGCTGCAACGTTTTTGCAGCATATGACAGGGGTCGAAATGAGGTCTCAGATTTTTGACTATTTTAGTACCATAATTAGAGATGGGAAAAAGGGATTAAGACCAGTAGGGGAGAAGGTAAAAATATAATATTCCCTAATTTCTTTATTTTGCACAACATTTAAATCTAAGGGGGAAAAACCCTTGTATTTTATGATCCCGGCAATGAATTTAAAAACGCAAAAAGAGACTTAAAAATGGGAAAGGAAAAGAGAAACAAAAGAAATTCGTCCATTTATTTAAACTATCTCAGAAATTGATTTTGGGGAACTTACGACTGATCTACTATTTCTGACAATAGAATTAAAAAAAAAAAAAGAATGATTAAAAACAATGAAAGGAACGAAAACCTATGACTAYTGGGAGATTGACCTGCTTTCGCCTTGATTGCCCGCCATCAGTTCTGACCCCGGATTGATAATTTTCTCTGGATTCTGACAGTTTTTGATTACTGCCGATGGTTGAGATTCCCTGCGACGCTATCCCTGGTTTGCCTGATTACTAACATTAACACAATTGGGATGTTCTGGGAGCGGGAGTCGCATGGACAGCATGCGGTGGTGCTGCCTTGGGCTGACAATTTGGTATTTGGCTTGGTACGGGTGCGGGGCTCGGAGAGATTCGGTACTAATACGGACTAGGTACATTCTACGGTATCCGGCGAGTGTCTGGTTCGGTATGGGCTCAGCATCAGAGTACTTCAGGGTTTGGTCACACCATCGAGATTTATTGTCAGGTCCGAGACCACCGCGGTCATTTAATTCAGCTTCGGCACCACTACGGCGGTCTATATCAGGTTTGGATCGAGTTCGGTGACGATTCGGTGAGGATACGACACTCGGAACCGGCGTCTACATTCCACGGTGTTCTGCAGGGCCCGGTACGGTGTGAAACAGGGATGGGCTATTGTGGTAATCCGCGGTGTTCGATATTCTTCAGACTCGGCAGAGGTTCGATATCAGAGAGGAACATGCCGCTGCATTATTTGCAGGTTCGGCATTGGTCTAGCATGGGCATGGACTGTTGGGCGGAACCTACTTTCGGACCCAGGAACCGGTACTGCTACGGTGAATCTCCTATCGACGGTGAGTGGCGATGGTAAGGTTCAGACTAGGTTTGACGATGCGCTGCCCGCTGGGACAGTACGGTACTGTCGACCACACCGATATGACCCCGTGGTTCGATTCTTCTATTGGTTGCCAAGGCATGTGTGGCATCACAGGGTCACCACACTCGGTGGTTTGGACCAGCCTGGTCGCAGGCTCGAACGCAGGATCTGGTACCGTAACACTGCACTCATTGTTCGGAGAACCGAGCCTGCGAACTCGGTCCCTACGGTGGCTGCTCGGGACCGGTCCTGGTACG